TATCTGAATGAGGAAATATACACCACAGAACATTAAACCATTTATATTATATATATGTATATATATACTTCTTTTAAACTAATGACTTTAATGCCAAAACTTTGCTGAACCAAGAAAAATATGGGTTTAATGTTCTCTGCTCATTTTTTTTTCTTCTTTAAAAAAAATACAACCCAAAAAAAAAAAAAGGGAAACTTATTAGTATGTAATGTTTGAGTCTATCCCATTTATACACAACATTGTAAACATATATAATCTATATTACATGTGCTTCATTTCTGCCTGGGTGTGTATTTTTTTTTTCTTTAAACCTTTTTTTTTTTAATCACTAGAACACCACAAAAAACCAAAACAGAACCAAACCAAAAACCAAACCGAAACAAATAATAACAAAACCAAACAAAACCGAACAAAGAACACAAGTTACAGGTTATTTAACATCTTTCTGTCAAAGGGTCCCTTCCCCAGTCGTCTGGGGGCAGAGTGGTCAACAACACAGTCCAAAGGAGGGCTCACGAGCCATCCGCGATGCAAAGCCAGCTCCAGGGAACGGGTGGATGGGGAATACTGGTTTTAAAAAAGGGGGCTTCACAACAAAGGGTTTGGTTTTGCCCGCTGCAGATGCTGAAGGAGGTCTCAACATGTGGGACCCAGGAGCCGAGGCTCCACACTGCTCCTGTATCCTCGAGTCCATGTCTGGAGTCTCTGCGCGTGTACGGGGTTTTTTTTTTCTCTTTAAATTTTAAAACGTCTCTTTCTTTTTTTTTTTTTGTTGCTGTCGTTCTTCTCCCCCCTGGCGTGATGTGATGAGCTGAGCCGAGTAGCTGGGTCCCGCCCTCCCGCTGGGTCCTTCATAAGTAGATGCGCCGAAGGTCTCCGGGAGACGTGATGGTGTTGCACTGGGGACAGAGCTTCTTGGCACCCTGCAAGCAGGCAAAGGAGACAACAGCGTGAGAGAGGGATGGAGGACAACCCACACGGCCCTGCCCTTGGCCCGGGATCCTGGGGGGGGAGCAGCGCTGGAGCTGGGGCAGCAAGGCCACCCCCTTCCCCTGCAGGCAGGGCCGTACCCTCCCGACAGCGGGCACAAGCTGCGAGAAGGGAGCCTCAACGCCTCTTGCCTGTCCCTCCAGCTCCTCGCTCCACTCCAGCCCTCGGCACGAGCAACACGTGCCGTTTTCAGCCAGGGTGACCAAACCAGCCTGTGGTGTCAGACCCTTCCTTTCAGGGCATCGCGCCTGGGGACTGCCCTGGCTCTGCTGTGAAAAGCCCAGAGCTGCTGGCACGAAGGAAACCCCTGTCCTGCCTCCAGCCCCCAGCGATGCTGCAGAGATGAGCATGTCCTGCCAAGGTGAGCCAAAACCAGCAAACTGCGATGTGAGCTGGGGCGAGGTAATGGGCGGCCAAAACAAACGCTACGTGAAATAAAACAAGGGCTGATGTGCCATCTATCACCGAGCCTGACAGCGAGAGGGTGTTAATAAGCCTCAGAATCGGGGTCAACCCAAGCCGGTCATCATTAGATTGGCAGATGTGACAGACAGTTGATGGGAAAAATGACAGAAGGATGGCTCTCGCTGGGAGGCAGCCTCCTGTCTACTGCACCGGGAGCGCAGGAAACTGGGATGCCCCGGCTACACTGACCGCAGCCTCAGCACGACCTCCCGTCGCACAGAACTGAGCACAGGCTCTGCCTGAGCACCCCGAGTTTTGCTTGTTGCTGTTAGATGGGCCCTCACAGAAGCCAGCGGCCAGCGCTCAGCGTGACAAGCGAGCCGACGGGGATGCGACGGGCTGTGCGAGAGCCCGCTGGCTTGCGCAGGGCTTGCTGGCAGAACCGAAGCTGTTTGGCGCGGCGACGCTGCTGCTCTCCCTCAGCAGGGCTCGTTGAGAACCTGCAGCAGCGAGCACAGCAGTGGCACAGACCAGGTGGCACGGCAGGACCGTAACCTGCCGTGCTGCTTTGGTACCGCTGCCTGCACGTGGGTACAGCCCTCGCAGAAGAGCTGGCCCTGCTGCTTACAAAAGGTAAGCGTCCTTAGAGAAGGTCCTCTCTGCTCCGTGTCAACACCTGCAGGGAGAGGACATGGGTTTTCTTCCCTGGAAGCTCCCAGGACTAAGGAGAACCTGGAGGAGGGAGTCTCAGGTACAGAGAATGTACGTAGGTGCAGTATTCACAGGGATGGTGGTGGGAGTCATGCCTGCTCTGCAGTCCAGAGTACTACCGAAAAGCCCGCCCCGACCAGCCTCAAACCAGCCTCCTCCTGCTCCCAGTGCACATTATTCCTGTAGACACGGACTTTGCATGCTCACTGTTCCCTGAGCTTTGGAATTCGGAGCCACAAGGCTCCTGTTTGATTTCCCTTGCCGCTCGTGGCTGAGCTGCTGCCCCAGCACATGTGGGAACCACGGGCGCTTGCACCTGATGCCTAAACCAGCCACACACAACGGTCTGTGGGACTAGAGTGGAATGAGATACGTACGGACACCCAAGACACCTGAGCATCACCCTCGGGATGAGTGACAGATTGGCAGCGGCTCAGAGCACTGGTAGGCTGGATGGTGAATCCAGCTCTGGTGCTGATCCCTGCGGGCACGTCCGTCTCGCTGCCTGGGACCCACCTCATCCCCTCTCTGGCCGTTAAGGTTGGCAGTGCTCTAGGGCAGGGACCATGCACTGGTCTGCACTGGGTGGACTCAGCACACTGGCTTCTGGGAAGTGCTATCACAAACCACAGCTGGAAGGAAAGGCTTAAAACCCTGATGGAATCGAGGAGTGAGCGCACTGGAGTGCAACAGAGCCTGCTTATAACACGCCTTTCCCCTTGTGCTGAAGACCAGAGCTTTGGGTCTCCAGCATCAGAAAAGGGCAAGCTCCAACCGTGCATGTCCCAGTAAAAGCTTCCTGCAGCAGCTGCAACAGGTAGGAGAGAAAAATCTAAACATCTGCCCCTTCTGCCACCTTTAAAGCCATTGTGGGCCAGGTGACATAGCAGCATGGTCAAGGACAGGCTCACTAATTGGGATGCAAATGCCATGAAACAGCCTGTTTCAACCACGTCCCTGCTCAGGCCTGCATCGCCATGCAGCTCCCTAGTCCTCAGCAGCGCCCGTTGGATCTGGCTGGTCCCTTGGCGTCGGCTCTGCAGCTGCAGGATGCAAAGGATGGGCACAGCATATGGGCAAGTGGCAAAAAAGCATCCAACTGAGTACCTGGAGGATCTGGATGATGCATCATGGAGAGGTCCCTTCTGCAAGACCAGTCCCCTGACCCACCAAATGCCTCAGCCTGCCTTCCATCTGGGGCGAAGGATGAAGGACCGTGCGTGCTGCCACCTAAACCCATGTCCCTCTACTCCTCAGTGCTCCCTGCCATGCTGATCGGCATTTCAGCACTTGCTTTCTTCTAGCTCTGCTGAAGCTGGAATGCAATTCAGGTATGCAATGCCTTCACTCCACAGGGAAAGGGAACTACCAGACCCCAGGATCTCTGCCATGCACTTATATTTGGGGCATCCACTCTCCCCACCTAAGGCCGAAAGCTGCACATGGGACAGCCAGGGCACAGTTTTCGACCATGCCAGAAGGCAGACCCCAACCACACGTAGCTTAACTCATTTTCTGCACAAGAGACGCGATCGTGGATTCCTTCCGGGCAGCGGTGGATGTTGCTCTGCCTGCACGTGGGGAGGGCAGTTCACCTCGAGCTCCGATGCCCGGGTGCGTTGGAGGGAACAACGGCATCTCGGAGACCTTTGGCAGCTAGGCCCGAACGCTGCATGGGCTGACGGCGCAGGGCACGCCGGGCCTGGGTCTCTGGGTCTCCCTAGTACTTAGGTTTGGTATTAAACAGCTCAAGCTAAAATAATGACTTTGGACCCTTGGGGAAGCCTTTTTCTCTCTCTTTTTTTAAAATTTTAAATAAAACTGTCATCCTCTGCACACATCACCATGTGTGTCAAATTCAGAACTAAGTCCTGATGTTTTTCCTTTTTAGATTGAAATTGCTTAGAACCTTGTTCCTTACATCTGACTTTTCGGTGTAGGTGTACAACATTTATTGGCACCAGCATTTAAGCTCTCCTCTCTTGTAGAGAGGCACATGAGCTTGTACACACACACATGCTGGCATAGGCACAATGAAAAAGCGTTTGCTTCCCCACTGCTCACCTGCCAGCTGGGGTTACTAAACTTTTCCCTTGAAATAAAAATGCTGTGGAATAATAAGTCCCACCTGTCGGCCATTTCTTTCTTTCTTTTTTTTCCAGGTCCTTCTGCTCCTTTCATCATAGCTTCATGGAAAAGCCTTGATGTGTTATAGCTGCGTGTGCTAGAGTAAAGGCCACCTCAGCTTTTCCATTATAAACCCCAGTTTGGAGGGGTTTATAAAACTCTGCTGCAAGAAGTTTGCTCCAGGGCTGTTACAAAGCAAAGAAAAGGGGCTGGAACCAGGATGGAGTTTATTTTTTCTCCTCCTTTCTTAATTAAAATTTGGCAAGTGATTGATCCACAATACAGGCTAATCACTTGGGGTAGTGGTTTGAAAAATACATTAACGAGAGCCGAGATGTTGAGAAGTCGTTAGGGCTCACATGGTGCCAGGAAGGATTGGAGTATTTTGTCTTAAAGTTGCCTCTTAAAAAAAAAAAAATGGCGTGACGACTGCTATAAATTGGCTAAAGCAAGAAAACTCAAAAGGAAGGATTTAGGAACTTCCTGCTGTCCTGTGGGTCTAAAAATGGGGACCATTTCCAAGCAGAATATGCTACCAGGCACAGAGAAGAAGGACACGCACAGAGGGCTACTTCACCTACACAGTGCTACCATCAAACCTGGGCTTAAAGCTTGCCTATTTTCTAGGAAGGCAGAGAGATGACAGAAGGGACACAAACCAAGAGCCAGCTTCTGCCAGGAGAGGAACGGAACTCCAACATCCAATTCCCAACCAAGGTGACGGCCCCCTCTCCCCACACCTGCACGTGAAGCGGCAGCTTCTTCTCTGCAAGCGCCAACTCTTGGCAAGTCAGCTGTTCCCCACTGCTGTTGTGGGGATCCTCCAATTGTCAGGGATCAAAGCAATCAGGAGGGCATCCTTTTTCAGAGAGCCTCCTCAAACACCAACTGAAACACGTTAGTAAGTAACTGGGCTACCTCATGGCAGAGAGGGACATTGTGAAGGATGGAGCCCAGCATCCTCCACGCAGCTGCGACTCAGGAGGTCCCTGTGTTGCTGGAAGCACTAAGGAATCAGCCAGAAGGATTGCTCTGTACCTGCGCTGCCCACATGGGAAATATGGATTATAGCCTAGGAAAAGCGACAAGGCTAACAACGTAGTAGTATAATCTACCAAAGATATAAATGTGTCAGCTGTAGAGCATACATATCCACTATTGGATCCCCTGGAAGCATATTCTGTGATGAAGAAGGCTTTTTAGAAGTGATTTTTTTCCTGCTCTTGCAGTTGTCATTTTCAAATAAGCCCAAGACAGAAAAATACAAGCCTGGGATCAGCAAATACACATAGGAAATGCTGGATCTGGCTGTACGGGCGATGGGGGAATCTCAGCAAACTCCACCTGCTCAAATAAACCTGCCCTCTTTCAGCTCTGCACCCACCAACAGCTCCGTCTCTGGCAAACAACAGCCTGACTTCACTTACTTCCTAAGGAAGGATACCAAGGTTTAGGGACCACAGAACCACAGCTTAGAGGGATGTCAAGAAATCACCGACCCATTCCCCCAGCCAGATCACCTCAACCCGAATTACTGCTGATGGACACGCATCAAACCTGTTCTCCCAAACCTCCAAGGATGGAAGCTCCAAACCTCCCCAGCAAAGCACTGCAGCCGACTGCCAATCTCTAGTGGAACGGTCTAGTCGAAGGTGTCCCTGCCCATGGCAGGGGGGCTGGAACTAGGTGGTCTTTAAGGTCCCTTCCAACTCAAACCATTCTGTGACTCTATGATTCTACTGTCAAAGCACTCTTCCCAGGAGAAGGAAAACGTGACTCGAGCCCACCCGTAGCAGTAGGGTCCCTCTGGGTTAGTGGGGAAGGACAGAGACGGGGCAGACAAACCTCTTCCCAAGGGAGATTCTCCCCCCATCACCCAGCGACGCAGGGCTGCAGCCCACCAACCGTCTGAGGACGGATACCTGCTGTGAGGACGGTTGACGTTCAGGGCTGTGAACCCCACGTCCTGCTGCCCAGGCTAACCCTCCCGCCTGCTACACCGTCTCCCCTCCTGACCCCACGTCCTGCTGCCCAGGCTAAGCCTGCTACACCGTCTCCCCTCCTCTCTTGGAGGAACCTGCATGTGTTTTCAGGGGTTTCCAAAAGGCATCCCTGGGAAGTCGCTCCAGTGTCCCAGGGCATGCAGGATGGATGAATGAAAAATGTCACTGCGCCGAGTGCCCCAGACAACCAGAGAGCAGGGGTCAGCGAGCTCGTTGGTGTGGTTTGACACAGCAGTACAAAGGCAGCAGGTAAACCCAGCTGACAAAGCAACTAATATGATTTCCTGGGAAACTAGGTATGATCACACGGCATCAAGCAACACATTCCTGCATCCCTTCTCCCTGCTGTGCCTATAACCACAGAGCTGCCCGCGGCATACAGCACAACTTCGGCCCCTGGACCGCAGCCCTTGGGCAAAGCGGTTCTGCTCACAGAGCAAGCGGAAGGAGAGAAAAACATCCACTCATCACGTCCTGATGCTGGTTAAGGACGGTGCCTCCCTTCCTCCATGGCCACCCTGAGAAGGACCGTCTAACTGAGCAGCTTCTACTGGCGCCGTGACGCTGTCTAACTCAGAGAGCACCACAATCTTGGTTTCTTCAGCCATCTCCAAGGTCCCTTTCTGCGACCCCATCCTTGCCTTCATGTTAATCCAACACAGCAACAGGAGACAGAGATGGAGTCTGCTCCGGCGGATGGTTCGCCCCCAGAACTTGGAGCTGGTTGGATGCACTGAGCTCTAGAATAACGGTACATAAGCTAGAGGGCCCGGCAGCCATTTGCTGAGTTACTGCTTAAAAATGTCTCGCCTCTCCCTTAGCAACAGAACAGTTATAATTTGGAACTGGACATCAAGAGCCAAAAGTCCAAAAATGGTATTTTCAGAAAGTGTCAACGCTTTAAAGGCGCAATCCTTATCAGTGCCCTAGACACCGTGGAAGTCGGAGGATGCTAGAGATGCTCAGATCACTCTAGCATCGTATTCTAGAAAACGTTCAAACCTTACACCTTTTAAAAAACGCTTCACCTCCTCTGGTCCACAGACAGACAGAAGCACTAGATCCCGTCTTCAATACCCTGCAGAGGTTCAGAAGTGCTCCCAGGCACTCTGGGCCTTCATTTCCAAGGCCTTGTTCAATACACAGTCCTCCCTCTCTCACACAAACACACTCTGATTCAATACTGGGTCTCAGCTGGGCATATAAACCACAGGCGCACAGGAGAAAGGGGACTTTTCAGCAGCAGGGATGGCAGATCTCCAGAATGTTCAAACGGGGCCGGAAGCCTGACACAACCCACCCGCCCCAACTCCTATTAACTCCAACAAATTGTTTATTGCACAACAGAAGAAAAATGTCGTTGCCCCTCTCTCCCCACCCCCAGCCAAGTCTTTCCATGTGTGCTGCACGCGCAGGCTCCCTCCTCCCGGCCCCGCTGGGGAGCCAGCTTTATACCCAGGGAAAGGTAACAGCGGCGATTATTACACACACTATCCCACAGCTCCTCGCTTGTTAAAAAAAAACAAGAGTCTCTTTTGTGCCCGAAATAAAAGGAGATACCTTAATTAGAACAATGCAGGTTGGTGAGCATTAAACACTGAGCCCAGCTGCTGTATGCCATTAAATTCATAAAAAAGGAGGGGGGAAGGAGGGCAGTCTTAACGAGATTACACACATTGACTTTGATCAAGACACAAAAGCACCAAGGCGTTCCAGGGTTTTTATTGCTGTCTTCGGGCTACATTTTAATGGTTACATTAGAAACATGCGAACACAGGCTGGGAGATTTTTTTTTGAGATGGGAGAGGGAGTGCAAGCATGCCTTGTGAAAAGGCCTGGTTTAATAAATTGGGGGCTGCAGGGAGAGGCTGGGACTGGGGAACACATGAGTTGCCACTTATTAATTGCTTCCCCTATGCAAGTGCCAAGTCCTAATACGAAGTCTTGCTGGACTATTCCCATCCCGCCTGCCTGGTTGGCAGAGGAGCCATGTGCGGACAGCACGCAGCCAGCTCCATCCCCACCTTCCTCATGGATCCCTAGAGGATAGACGGCTCCCTCTCTGCAAGGGTAAACACTAACCCCCGAGCACCTGGAGTGGGATTGCCCAGTCCCTATGAGCCACCGTGACCGCTGCACATGAAACAAAGGGCCTGACTGAAGTTGAACTAAGCTGCTGCCGAGCCTGAGAACAGCCTGAAACCAGTGGCACAGATTTAGAAGATGACCTGAAGCTGCTGGGAAGAGGAGAGGACAATGAAAAAGAAATTGGTGGTTCACCCTCTGCTGTCGCACCGCTGAAGGACAAGATTGCTCCTCACTCAGCAAAGGAGGCAGAGCACACATTCCCCCAAACCTCTCACAGCTACGTACCCACATATGTGTCTTTTATAACACGCTGCTAAAATGTTTACAAAAGCTTGTATAATATAAATAGTGTTGGGGTGTAGCTGAAGAGCTGTAAAATACAGCCCAAGGGATAGCCAAGTTATTGAGTTGCTATTAGTACTCAAGCCCACAGGCACTTCACCGTCCTGCTAACTTTTCTTGGACAAGACTTTTAAAAGGCAGGATTTAAAGGAGCATGATCGGCTTAATCGTAATTCCAAGCGCACAACGTGTTCTATAAAGTAGATTTGGTAATGCTTTACAGGAACAGCTTTTAGGAGTGGCATTCCCTTCCATTTTTTGCAACCTCACACTGGATCATCTTGCTAGCAAGAGAATTAGAAAGCACAACTGACTATTTTCCACTCCCCAACCTGAATAAAATGAAAGCTTGAAAATCAGATGCACAGGGGAAATGAAAGGCTGATTATAAAGCCCCTAGTTTTAGCAAAGGAAAGGCAAACACCTTTTCTAGTAACACCTTAAATTTTAACCTGATGTCCTTTAATACATGCATAAATTACTACTGTATCGGGTCACCTATTCAGTGTTCAAGGTAGTCCCCCATCTCCCAGACAGACTGGCATACGCTTGAAAACGGCACAGCGCTAGTTCAAATACTCTGAAAAATACAGATTCCTATTCATCAAAGCTCCCTTCCATATCATCTATCCCGAAGATGATTCCCTTTGCTTCAGGGGAATATTAGGTTTCTCAGAAGCTACCCATCCCATGAATCTCAGTGGATCTGGCCTCCACTCTCACAGCTTCACCTCCTCGCATGGATGCCCCACAGGAAATTACTGTAAGGGGAGGTTGTCCCCAGCACGAGCAATGGCTGTCCCCATGGCAGCTGTGGAGCAAGCACGGGGCAGGACTGCACTTCAGTCATGACGACTCAAAGGAAACTCCCTCGAGTCAAAGCTAGAGCGGGGTGTTAAACAGCAAGGCGTGGGGAGTCTGCAGGCACAGCACTCACACTGTGTAAATAAAGCAAAGAGCACCTTTCCCATGGTGATTTAAATAAAGGATCCCAGAAGAGAGGAAAAAGTCTCTAAGTCAACAAGAAAGTAGCCAAGAGCCTCACCAGAGTCCGCAGCCAGCATTCTTCACAGTGCACATGCCAGCACTGAATGGAAGTCAGGGGCATTGTGTAGGAGTCCTGAGGAGAAGAAGCAAACAGGTTATTTCCACCGCAGGGACCTAGTGAGTCTTCACTCCCACCTCCCCAGCCCCACCTTTACTTGAGGGTAACACCGCCTTGCATCTTGGATTAAAAGGAAAGAGCTTGTGCAATATGTGGTTTTGTAACGTTTGTGTAGCAGAGGCAGAAAGACCCCCACAGTCCATTTTTCCGGCTTCCCAGAACTCCTGTTGGAAGCCCGTAATCCACTCAAGTGGTGACCTGGCTCAGCAGAGTTATCTCAAGAGCATCTGAAGTTGCCGTGGCCACCTGCCATTCTTCCCATCAGAAAGGTCAGCAGATCATATAAAAAGCAGCGACAGGGTAAGATTAACCCTTATCGCAACTCCTCGCTCTGCAGGAACAGCTTAACTGCATCCCAAGAACACTGCTGCTATTTCAACAGGCACGCTCTCTCTTGAGTGTTTTCTATCATTGCTAATATTTGCAGGAAGCTGTCATCCCTTCTGTGGGATGAGGGACGGGGAGCGCACCCCCATACCCACAAGCTGTGAGCTGGGAGAGAGCGCGATGCATCAAGCTGAAGTTGCAGAGGCAGCCTTTCGCCGGGCAGAATTTTCTCCCACTATCATGAGAATAAAAACCTGGCAGGAGATGCAAAGCTCTGCAGGCTCACACCATCAGAGGGAGCTGCTGCCCTTCCTTAAGAAGGCCACAGCATCCCCACAGAGCCAGCCGGACATCGACAACTTTTAAATGCTCCGGCAACATTCCCGTTTCCAAATGTTACGGTGGGTCTCAGGTCACCGATTCTGCTCTCTCCTGTGTATGTAAAACTGCAGATGCAGGAAGAGGATGCCGAGTTTTTTATAGGAAGGCTGAAAGTCTTCCGAAGTTGGGTTTTTCTTGCCCCTGACACGGACGGACTGCTACAAGTACCAGTGGAACAATGCAATGCATGCAGAATTTCAACTGCTAGAAGGGCCTAGCCCCTTCACCTGGAAGGGCTAATTGGCGTACAGGGACAAAAATGAGTTCCCCCACTCCACCCAAAAAAAGGAGAAAAGCTTCTCCCCTCCACGGCAAAGGTACCGAGACATTTCTGATTCATTACCACAAGTGGAGGGCTACTCACCATGCAAATGAGACATTTATAGCGGTCCCCACGGGAAAGCTGCCTTTCTAACTCACGGACACGAGCCTTTAACGCTTCAAATGTTGTCACTGCGGAGTCTTCTGTAATTCTGCAAAAGATGATGGAGGTGAGCATCGCTGAGCACAGGAGACTGTTAAGAGTCTGGGGAAAAAAGGATCCCACAACAGGTACCGTGCAGGAAATGGCAACATTCGAACTAATACATCCAGCCTAGGGTGAAGAAGAATTCCGGAAAAGCCCGGTGTCAATTCTTTGAGGTGTCCTACTAAACATTTCCAAACACACCACAACAGAACACAATGGGGCTGCCAACTCCATACCAAGCAAGTTTCCACAAGACACTGACAGTTAAGAATAATTTCATTTTTTTGTTTGTTCCTTGTTTTCTGCCTCTTTCTTTGTCTCCCTTAAGACCAAATGCTTTGGCCAAAGTTCTGTACGTTGCTCTAAAGCTGGTGAGGTAACTTTCTGTGGGCAACAGAGCTGCTCTTCCCCTTAGAGAATGGAGGTCTGTGCTGGCCATCCACCTCATGAAACACAAAATCAGCTCATTACACAGGATCTACACACTTTCATATTAAAGAAACGCTTAGCTTTTTGGGTTCCAATACTGACAAAAAGGAGAAACCAGAAGCAACGGACACTGTGCCAACAGGGAGGCTATAAAAGCAGCTTTACAGTCTCTGCTTTCCCATTTCCTAGGGTCATTTCTGATAGGCAGCATTATCTCTTTTGTCACAGAGGCGCTGTGCTGAGGGCAGGCAAGTGTTCTGCGGGGCTGGTGAAAAGAGCAACTTGCCAACCTAAAAGCAAGGGCAGACAGCAATGCTTAGCAAATGAGATGCAGGGAGCATTACAGACAAGGTTGTGTCACTCTAGCATGCTGCAAAATCCGATTTCTACACAGTGCAGACACAGGGAGGGGCCCTCAAGCATTCCCCAGAAAAGGTTTAGAGTGTTGCATTGACGTTAAGGCTTTCAATCTTGCCAAAAAACCAAAACCAAAGAGCAATGTTCACGTATGTCAGTGAATTTCAGGCATGTCCAAGCAGACTCTACTGCAGCTCAGTAGAACCTGCAGAGTATTTCACCACCAGAAGCTGCATCGATCACAACATAACCCACAGTGCACCTACGTGTTCTACCTTTCTAGAGGATGATTCGTCAACAGGTAGCTAAAACACGGGTCTAGTGGAATTACTACAGCTGATAAAGCATGCTGCAATCTCAGCTCCCCCCTGCACACACACGCTCGCTCCTTTGTTCATTAGTCACTTGTCGCTGGCACACAGGGAGGGACCGGAGGTATCTCCCACCAGGTGATTCTGCTGGCTCTTCCCAAGGCTCTGGAAACAGAGCGAGTTGAAAAGATCTTAAGTGATTTTTCTAATTATGACACTTCAGAAGAAACCGGAGCTGCAGGAGCACGTATGGGCAAGTAGCAGCGTTAGAGAGCTCCTCCAGCTTCACTCCTACCTTTGTGCAGATCAGACGCGCTCTGCACGAGCTAACCGAGGAGAGACCTTCGTCAGAGGGAGATTCATTGCAACTGACAGTTGCTGGGAAATGGTAACAATTTCAAAACTGCAAAAAAAGGCAAAGAAATACACGTTCCGTGATAGCCTAGTGGGCGAGGACTGCCTGGGGATGGGGACACTGTGCATTCAAGTCTTGGCATCAATAAATATCCTTTGG